ATTCATTCAGTCGGCAGTCAGCCTGGGAGAGCTCTGACGCCCTGTGTTGGATTATGGACCAAAATAAGCACTTAGCCATATTCTCTTCCCTCAGGGTTGCGGGGACTTCAGAGGGAGGGCAGGTGAAGGCCACGGAGCTGGAAACCCTTCGCTTGAAGAGGGAGTGTGAAAAGCAGGGTGGTCCCTGCACTGTGGGCACAGGTCTCACGCGGACGGGACGCAGTTGGAGAAAAATGCCACTTGAGTGAGGAGGTCAGAGGGTGGGCGCTGGTCTGAGAAAGCTGAGGGCAGAGGCGACTTTGAGGTACAGCACAGAGAGGCCAGGGCAGCAGCGGCTGAGAGCGGAGCCCATACCTTGAAAGCTAAAAATGCGGCTCATGCAAATACAGAGTGAGCTCTGGTCCAAGGTGGGCTTACCTGGGTGAACAGGGAGCCAAGACTGAAACTGATTCAAAGGCCAGTCTGAGGAACAGAGGTTTAGCCGCTGAGTTCAGGAAAGGTGCACTGAAATCGGGTCGTTTGTGCCCCCGGGGGTGACGAAAGCCTAACCTGTGGGTTATGCTCTGGAGCAGCCAGAAGACATTTGCCAACCTGCTGGGCAGAAGCATACAGGCTGGCCAGTGGTTCCAGAGTCTGAGCTCCAGTGGGTGGTAAAAAACAGGTCCGACAAAGTGCCTCCTTAAAGCTAATTCACACCTGTGTGGCCCTAGGTTGGAGGTTATCCTTTGGCTCTGTATGTTTTCTCTAAACTGAGGCTGACTCCGGAGTCCGACTGCTGTGCTCACGCCCCAGCCTTCCACTAACCTCGGGACCGTGGGTGCACGCTGTCGCCCTGTTCTGCAAGTCGGGTTCTTCACCGGAGGGGACGGGGAAGCTATCTGCACGCATCACTGATGCCCCCGAAGATTCAGCACATGTACGTAGGAAGCGGTCCCTCAGTACGCATCACCGATACTAAGGACATCATTGGAATATGAACACAGGAAGGTCTGAGCACCTCAAAGGCTCTGAGTAGCCGCTGGGTCGGAGAGAAGCTGGAGGGAGGCACATTGCGGTGTGCATCAGCGGTAGTGGGGGTCTGGCCTGGGGGCGGCTGGATTCCAGCTCGGGGACCTGCACTTGTTTGGGGCGACGGATGCCTTGTGAGGTCTGTGAGCAGGTCCGCGTGGACGGGAATCAGCAGACATCAGGCAGACGCGATAAGGCTGTAATCCAAACAGTGTTGGGGGGCAGGCAGGCTAGACATCAGGAAGAAACTCCAAAGGGACATGTGAGGTTCGGGGGCCTCGCTGTGACCCAGCATGAGAGCATGCAGGGCTAGGGCAGCTGAGGGCCAGGGCTACCCTGGTGACCAGCAGGGACCCCTAGGGGATGCTGAGTCTGCCACCAGCACCGGCCCCCAGATGTGCCTCTGAGACGGTCAGACCCCACACTGTGGCCCGGCACGGGGACGCATGAGGACCCAGGTGCTTTCTGAGGGACGAGCATCCTTGAGCACGCCCTGACGCGGACCATTCCCAGTCTCCTGCCGGTGTGCCAGCACCCTGCTCCCTCACCCTTTTGCCAGCCGTGCTCTGCTTTAGGCAACTTTGAGGCTTTATGGGGTGAGTTTCATTTTAGACAAAGGAGAGGACATACCCGCCCCCCCCCCCCCCAAAGGCCCGCCCCTCCCCTAGAGCCATTCTTTCCAGTAAGAGCAGGTTCTGTGCTGGGCTCGGGGTCTACTGCTGTGTGTGAGCTGTGGCTCTGCTCAGCTGGGGGTGACAGGTGCAGAGACTTCTCCTGTCTCCACCCCCCTCCTGGGCAGGACCCAGCCTGGCGCGGCTGATAAACCGCTGAACTTAAATAACCTTCCACTGAACCCGGGAGCTTTCCTCGGCACCCACAATCCCCCGTCCCTCGGTTCCAAGCATTTGTGACCGCCCAGCGGACAGGGGCAGGGGACGACCTCTGCACCGCACCCCTCAGTTCTTAGACCCTGTGAGATCCTGGGCGTGCAGGGCAAGGCTGTACCTCCCCTGTTCCAGCCTCAGCTCACCCCGGAGAAGGCTTGTGGTCCCCCAAGGCCACCCGGTCACCAGCTCCCTATCCCTCCTCCCTGAAAGGTCCTTTAGCTGTGAGCAAGTGTTTGCTGATCCTTGAGCCTAGGCTTTTCTGCCAGACACTTCGTAAAGGGGCGAGGGCTTTGGGGTTTGATTATTTTGTTTGTTTCTCTGAAAAAACAAGGCGCTTCCCTCCTGGATTCCCACTCTCCACATGCTGATGGGCTGAGCAGCTTGAGGGCAGGGCCACATCAGCAGGGGGAGAGGGAGCTTTGCTGAGCAGGTGCCAGGCCCTCGGGGGCCAGGGTGGGCACCCTCTGCCGCCTGAGTCAGCCCTCCCGTGGGCTCTGGGAGGCAGGCACTCGGCCCTGCAGGGAGGGGCACGGATGGGCGTAGATAATGTGTCCAAGACGTCGTGGCTACTCCCAGCCAACTCTAGCCTGGTTCTCTGCCCCTTCGGGGTTTCCCGCGGTGTTGGCAGGGGAGAGGGAGGGGAATGCTGGAACAACCTGGTACCTGATGTGAACAAAACTGGGTTCTCGGGGGGGATGAAACCGTGCGCAGAATGCTTCTCGGAGTGCTCGCAGGGTCCCGTCCAGCCCAACGTGCTGGCAGACAAGGCAGCAGGAGGAGCTGGGACAGGCTGGAAGCTGGCCCTGAGTGACCGTGACCTCCGAGGCTCACTGGGTCCCTCTGGCCCATTTTCTCTTCTGCAAAATCAGGCGACTGGGTGACGAGGCCTTCAGGGCTTCCGGCTCTAAAGCTCCGTAAGGTGGACCCGCCCAGGCATGGCGCCTGCAGCAGCCCGCAGGCAGGCCCGTGCAAAGCCCCGCGGTGGAGCTCGAAGCGACCAACAGATGACAGTTTCTTCGGAGGGGCTGGGCGTGGCTGCCAAAAGGGGCTCCTGCAAGGGCCTCCAGGGGCCCGTCCCCAGAGTTCAGTGTGGGTCAGGCAGACTCGCTGCTAAGCTACAGCTCCTCGCTGGCAGGTGCTGCGTGCCATAGGCTGGAGGTGCAGGGCGCTTCCAGTTCCCGGGCCAGAGGGTGGAGGCGGAGCTTAGGGTGGAGGCGGGGCCAGAGGATGGAGGCGGGGCTCAGGGTGGAGGAGGGGCCAGAGGATGGAGGCGGGGCTCAGGGTAGAGGTGGGGCCAGAGGGTGGAGGCGGGACTCAGGGTAGAGGTGGGGCCAGAGGGTGGAGGCGGGACCAGAGGCTGGAGGAGGGGCTCAGGGTGGAGGTGGTGCCACAGGGTGGAGGTGGTGCCACAGGGTGGAGGCAGGGTTCAGGGTGGAGGCGGGGCCAGAGGGTGGAGGCGAGTCCAGGGGGTGGAGGCAGGGCTCAGGGTGGAGGTGGGGCCAGAGGGTGGAGGCGGGGCTCAGGGTGGAGGCGGGGCCACAAGGTGGAGGTGCAGAGAAGCTCCCTCTCCTACCTTTCTGGAGGGATGTGGGGGCCCGTGCCCTCTGTGGACCCCTTGTGATCTTGGATTTATTCACCTGTCTTTACCCAGACCTGCTGCTGCCAGCTGTGTGCTCCAGATTGGACGCCGAGGCTGCCCTGCTCCCGCACCGGGAGTTGGGGTAGAGGGCAGGACCAAGGGACCCCTGGGCAGGTGTCCCCTCTGAGATCAGGCAGATGCTTCTCTGCCCCCTCCCATGTTTCCTTGCGCCCCTCTTAGCAGAGACTTCATGGTCACCCTGTCTTCTTATGAAAGGGAGGCTCTTTCTCCGTCTCCAAACTCCAGGACTGTTCAAGGTATTCTGAGATATTCAGAACCTACCCACCCAGGAACACAGATCCGAAGCCTAGCTTTGCCCTGAACTGGGAAGCCGGGGTCACGTCTCCTAACGGTTCCACATCCCCCAGGGGAGGGTAAGTGCAAGTGGTCACCTGCATCTCATCCTTGAGAGACACGAGCAGTCAACCAGGCACTTGCCTCCCAGGGGTGGCCTGTGCCACTTGGGACCCCAGGACGCCTGGGTGTCAGCACCTGCACGGGAACCACTTCTCCACACCTCAGCTGGACGGCTTCCTTCCCAGTAAAGTTTAGATGGTCTTGGAGATGGGTCATAGGGACTCAACTATTTTGAGATAACCATTGCATGGCTCTTCTGATTGTTTTTCTTCCTCCGTGATGAGGTTTTGAAAGTAAGAAAGAAAGATGCCCCGAGGAACGAGATAAAGGGATTAAAACGAAGGCAGACACGACAGCCAGGCAATGTTTCCGAGATGCCCCTGACGACCTGCAGGAAAATCCTTCCTTGTAATTGTCACTAAAGGGTTTATACAATTTCCTGCCCAGATTGGCGGTGTTGTGACCAGCAGTGCATAATTAAAGTGCATTCCAAAGGGAAAGATAGTGACTCAGGTAGGCCTGGGAGAGAATCCCATTTGCGCAGTCTGGTGGCATCCTTATCTGCGGGCTGGGAGACCCAGCCGGGGCCTCGGGGCTGGTGGTAATTAAAATACCTTTAATTGGAAGATTCCATAATGTCTCTGCACGATGGCGCATAATTACTAGTCTGCTCCCCCAGCGTCCTATGGGGAGCCACAGAGAACACTGGAGCTCTCCTCAGTTGGGAGAGGGTTTCCAAGATGGAGGGGACGGTGGCTATGTCTACACTCGCAGCCTAGGAGATGTTCCAGAACCTCGAGGCTGGAGTGGAGAGGAGAGGTGGGCCGGACGGCGGCAGTGGTAGGAAGCTCAGACTGGGCAGTGGGGCCTCTGGCCGTGTTTGGAGATCCCGTTGAGACTGCACTGCTGTTGTGAGAGATCCCCACGACCGAGTGGTTTATCACAGCTCCAGGGACCAACGTCCCCACTGGGCAGGCAGGGCTGCGCTCCTTCCGAGGCCTTGGCATGGGGACTTTGCTGCGTCTTCAAAGCCAGCAGCGTGGCACCTGCCGGTGTATCTCAGAGCGTCTCACTTGTGCTTCTACTGTGACACCTTCTCTGACCTGAAGATCCTCTTTTAAGGGATGCTGATGATTACCATGGACCCGCCAGACGAGCCGGGATTGTCTCTGACTTCAGAACTTAACCACATCTGCAGAGTCCCTTTGGCCAGGTAAGGTCACACTCACGGGTTTTGGGCATTGGGACGTGGACATCCTTGGGGGGGGGGAGGTCACGATTCTGCCCACCCCAAGCCCCAGGGAAGAGCCGGCAATGAAGAAGTCACAGAATCGTGTTTAAAGGGAGACTCTGGGATGGAGGAGGAAGGAAATGTCACCTCCGGAGCTCAGCCGTGTTCCTTTTTAAAATTTGTGCTAAAACGCATGTAACGTAAAATTGACGACACTGACCATTTTGAACCGGCTTAATTTAGTGCCATTAAGTACGTTCGTTCACAACGTTGTGCGGCCATCAGCAGCATTAATTTCAGAATATTTTCACTTCTCCAAAAAGGAATGCATGCCCATTAAGCCCCCCTCCCTCCTCTCCCCTCCCCCAGCCCCTGATGGCCGCCCCTCCACTCTCTGTGTCCACAGATTTGTCTGTTCTGCATGTTTCAAAAACGTGGAATCACACAATATGTGGCCTTTTGTGTGTGGCCTTCTTTCACTCCGCATGGTGCTTTAATGTTCATCACGTTGTATGTGAGTTGGGCCTTCACTCCTTTTATGGCTAAGTGCTATGCCGTTGTGTGGTTAGACCACGCGGTGTGTATCTGTGCATCCGTCGATGGACACCTGGGCTGTTCCCACGTCTTGGCTTCTGTGAACATTCCAAACAAGTGTTTGTCTGAACATCTGTTTTCATTTCTCAGGTTTATCCCCAGGCTGGAATCACCAATCCTACGGTCACCCCACGGTTCACATATTAAGAAAACTTTGTTCTTCTGAGAACAGCCCTGTGAGGTGAGTGTGGTTGTCCCTGATGTTTGGGGGTGCCCCCACAAAGATGACACGTCCCTTGGAGAACAGCAGGTGGGGCGCTTCTTCCCAAGGACTCAGGTGTTGAAGACGAACAGATCCGAGGTGGAAACAGCAGGACATGGACGGAGCCCAGGCTGACGGGGCGGGAGGGAGGCCCAGGAGTGGGTGTCCCTGCTCTGTCCCCCCACCCCTGAGCCCTGGGGACCCGAGGATTGTGGTGACAAGTCCGCCTTCCTTCCTAGGGACCATGGTGGTTCAGTGGCATCTGTGGAGAGCCCGGGCTGTACCCCAGGTGGCCTGGCTGGAGGACCACATTGGAGAGGATAGTGGGGTGGACCGTGCTGACCACACATGGGGAGTGACAAGGACCATGACGAGGACAAGCGGAGTTAGAATGATAACAATGAGGACATTGCCATTCCTGTCTTGTGTGACAACAGGGACCCCGGACCACATCACACGGAGTCAACACGAGGTGTCCTGTGTCCTGGCAGACTGCTCGCCCCCACAGAGAAAGTGACTCACGGACCACTTGGGTCTTCGGCTTTTAAAATTATGATTCAATTTATCAAAATCCCACTTAAAAATAACTTTAAAAAAAATTTTTTAACGTTTATTTATTTTTGAGACAGAGAGAGACAGAGCATGAACAGGGGAGGGGCAGAGAGAGAGGGAGACACAGAATCGGAAGCAGGCTCCAGGCTCCGGGCCATCAGCCCAGAGCCCGACAAGGGGCTCGAACTCACAGACCGTGAGATTGTGACCTGAGCCGAAGTCGGACGCCCAACCGACTGAGCCACCCAGGCGCCCCTAAAAATAACTTTTTTATCCTTTCAGATTCAACTTTGATTAACGTTTGATCTTATTATAAACTTAGACGATTAAATTCCCTGAAGTATTTTATATGGAATGAATGTATCGAATATATTTGATTTTCTTTCTTTTTTTTCTTCCACTGTGTTTCAATTGTCTAGCTAGCAAACAAATCTCCCAAGCATTTAAATAACGCGTGTAAATCTATTAAGTTAAACTAACAAATTCGGAGCATCTTTGATTCTCTGTTGTAATACACTTGAACTTGGTAAACATTCTCGCGCTCCTCCTAAGAGAATTATCTTTTTATTATTGGAGACTAATGGTAAACAGTGCCATCTAAAGTGCCGTATACGCTCATGTTGCCCACACAAAGATAACATGCCCGCCCATGACTCCCCCTGGCCCTCCCCACTGTCCCCCTCCCCAAGTTACTGCTACTGTTACTTCGTTTCTCCCGAAGTTTATATGCACTGCCTGTGCTCCTTGGAGTCTGGCATCATTCAGACACATGTTATGGCGGCAACACTCATCCACGTTGCTGGATGCGCCCATGGCTCCTTCCTTCCCTGCCAGAGTCTCCGTGGGAACCTAGCATGCATAGTCACCTGTCCTATTGCTGAGGGACACGTGATGGTTGCCAGCCACCAAGTCTTAATTGACTAAGACAACGCTGCCCCCATGATGCCCGTGACTTGGCACCCGTGTGGGCACGTATTTCTGTGGGGTGCATGCCTCACTGGAGGATGGCGGGGTTGCGCCGTGGGCACGCATCCTTTTCTGGTCGCCAATGTCGAACACCTTCCTGAAGTTCTGTACCAATCTCTACTTTCAACAGCGCTGTCTGGGAATGTCTGCTGATCTACCCGGCTCAGGCGGTTTTTAAAATTTTACTTGATTACTTGGTGACTAATAAAATAGGCATCTCTTCGTTTTTGTTGGCCATCTTGATGTACTATTTTGCGTAGTATCTGTTCAGGTCTTTTCCCCACTTTTTATTACATGTAATAGTCTTTTTTGTTCTTTTTTGAGCATGAGTGGGGGAGAGAGAATCCCAAGCAGGCTCCACGCTGTCAGCACAGAGCCCGACGCGGGGCTCGAACTCACGAACCGTGAGATCGTGACCTGAGCCGAAGTTGGACGCTCAACTGACTGAGCCCCCCAGGCGTCCCTTGGCTGTCTTACTGTATTAAGAAATTGGTTAGACTCCTTTTTATGTATTGGCCACACAGGTTGCAACACACTGCAAATACCTCCTCCTCGTCTGCGGCTTTATCACTGTTCTCTTTTGAAGTTACTCTTTGATTAAAGAGGCTCTTAGTTTGGTCCTTGAAAGTCTCTAATTTTGGTGAAGCCCCAGTTTGTTTATCTTTACAAGGGTTAGTATTTTTTGTGTCCTGTTTCTCATCCTGCTTCTCATTCATACCAGCTTATCCTCAATCACAGGGAGCTCTCAGGTCTGTCCCCAGCCGTTTCAGGTTGATGGCACAAAATCACATTTTTATACATTGCGCGTCCAAAAGCAGTAATAGATTTCTAGCTCATCACCCTGTTGAATCAGGTAGCAAACCAGGAGTCTCCCTTTCCTGAGACCTTGATTTCTCAGCCCGACTGTCAGGTGCTGCTGACACCCTCCCTTCTCCCGCAGGATTCTGGGAGCTCGGAGGCGGGGCCCCGCTCCGTGTAGCCGCCAACACCGTCATTTCCCTGCTTTTGAGTGCCTTGAGGGTTCCTGGTGGGCTGTCTTCCCTTGGGCACTTGGAGCGGCTCAGTCCGCGGCCGTCGGCCCCTCCCGTCCTCCCTTCTGCTGATCTCCGTCATCACGGGCGATGCCCCACTTTGTCTACGGTAACCGTGTCAGCTCTCTGTGGAGTGGCCTTCGCGTGCTGGATCTTGCCCAGCATTTGTAGTCAACTTCCTCATGTCTGCGTCTTTAACACGCACCTTTGCTAAGAGGCAGACATGCGAGTGTCCTTCTACCACCGAGCGTGACAATCTTGCCCTTTATTTGGAGGACACGGCCCCGTTACATTCAGTACAGCAGCTGACATAGGATGTCATCAACGCTACCGCTTCCTTACTCCTTTGCCCGGTTCTTGTTTCCCAGTGTCAGGCTGACGTCCTTTCCGAAACGTGGTCACAGCGCGTTTCATCACGCCTTCCTTCTTGTGCTTCATTGGTTGCGCTGTGGCCACTATGTCAGAGAAGCCATCTCAGGTTAGTATCTTCAGGACAGCGTGACGACCTGACGTGGCTGGGTCTGGCCGACGACAGTGTGGATGACACCGGCTGGCAGTGTGTGTGTGCAGGTGTGTGGATGACTGTGGACCACAGCGTGGACGTCGGTGCGTGTGGGTGCGTGGAGGGTCCAGGGCAGGCTGGCCGTCTCCGCACGGCTTCTCCTCTCCTGTCTGCAGCTGGCAGACGGGGCTTTGCTCACCGGCTTTCCTGCCCGGCCCAGGCCCCCTGGCGTGGAGCTCTTCCCGGAGGGTGTCGTTCACTGCTCGCGCTCCCCCCAGGAGACAGGCTTCGTTATCTTGTTGGAGCAAGGGGGGGGGTACCACTCAGACGAAACGCTGAAGCCGACAGCCGAGTGTACTTCCTGCCGAGTGAGGGTCGCCCTGAACAGAGTGCTCACGGCACTGGGAGATTGGCGGACTCTGGAAGAGGGCGGATTTGGGGACTGGGTGACCGCGGCCGTGGATGCCTGGTTAGCGGAATGAGGCCGCCACTGGTGGCCGTCACTCAGATGTGTGCCCGCTGAGGGAAACTGTCCTCGGTTTGGGGACTGGCTTCAACCTTTGGACATTTGGACATTACCCGCTGCAGCGACGGAAGAGCCAGCCGCCTTGTCTTCCTTGAATTTGGAGCGTGGGACTCTTGCTCCCGTTTTCGTCACACGCTCGAGGATGCCAAGGCTCAGACAGGTGAGGACTTTCCTAAGGTTGCGTGCCGCCCGGGAGCGTGTAAGTCTTGGGCTCAGGTCTACCCGAAGGACGTGCCTCTACTTACGCGCCGTTATCTGTTGTGTTTTTGGTTCTCACGCCCCGCTCCTCGGTCCCCTCTCCATCAGCCCCTGTGGCTCCTCTGTCGTCTGATTATGTTTGCCCTTTGTCCCAGATCCTGAGTCCGAGCCCCCAACCCCTCCCACTCGATAGAGTCACTCTTTTCTAACGTACTTTTACCTGTCCTCAAATATTTGTGCAGCTGGGAACATCTAATGTTTGGGAGTTACGTGTTTATCTCAAACTCGCATCATTCCGTATCTTTTTTCTCTCAACACTATGCCTTAAAGATGTGCCCACATTTCTGCACGGACCTCTCACCTTTGATTCATAGCAGCCAGTATCTCCTGCCCATTCCCTTCCCCTGGTCACAGACACCCGGGGTGTCCCCCCGGGTCCCCCCGCGCCTGCCCCCAAGTGCTGCAACTTCCTCGTGCATGAGCCTCTGTGGCTTCCCTGGGTTTTCACTCTGCCGGCACCTCCATACCCTTTGGAAGCTTTGCCAATTGGAGGGATGGGTGCAGGATGTCACATCATCATTGTGTTACCTGCGTCCCTACCAGCCCTAATGGCGTCACCATCTCTTTGTCATGCAGTATCACTGAGCCCCCCCCTTCTATGAAGTGCCTGTCAGCACACCACACTCGGTTTTAAAATGTTGTCTTTATCTTGCTGGTTTTCAACAATCCTATTCTATTTTTAACTTTTTGTTTTAATATTTATTTATTTATTTATTTATTAAAGTTTTTTTCAATGTTTTTTATTTATTTTTGGGACAGAGAGAGACAGAGCATGAAGGGGAGGGGCAGAGAGAGGGAGACACAGAGTCGGAAACAGGCTCCAGGCTCCGAGCCATCAGCCCAGAGCCTGACGCGGGGCTCGAACTCATGGACCGCGAGATCGTGACCTGGCTGAAGTCGGACGCTTAACTGCCTGCGCCACCCAGGCGCCCCAATATTTATTTATTTTTGAGTGAAAGAGAGACAGAGAGGCGAGCTGGGGAGGAGCAGAGAGAGGGAGACACAGAATCTGAAGCAGGCTCCAGGCTCTGAGCCATCAGCCCAGAGCCTGACGCGGGGCTCGAACTCACGAGATCATGACCTGAGCTGAAGTCGGATGTTTACCCAACTGAGCCCCATCCAGGTGCCCCTCAATCCTATTCTAGATGTCAATTTCTTGTTGTTGTTTTTTTAAACTTTTTTTTTTTAGGTTTATTTGTTTATTTTGGGACAGAGAGAGAGAGAGAGAGAGAGAGAGAGCAGGGGAAGGGCAGAGAGAGAGGGAGAGAGAATCCCAAAGAGGCTCTGCTCTGCCAGTGTGGAGCCTGATGTGGGGCCTGAACTCACAAACCGTGAGATCATGACCTGAGCTAAAACCAAGAGCAGGACACTTAACCGGCGGAGCCCCCCAGGAGCCCCTGTTGTGGTTTTTTTAAGAGGTAAACTTTTCCCCCAATCTGTCACCTATCTGTCCTTTCTTTTTTTTATTTTATTTTTTTATTTTTTTAAATGTTTATTTACTTTTGAGACAGAGAGAGACAGAGCATGAACGGGGGAGGGGCAGAGAGAGGGAGACACAGAATCCGAAACAGGCTCCGAGCTGTCAGCACAGAGCCCGATGTGGGGCTCAAACTTACGAACCGAGAGATCATGACCCTAGCTGAAGTCAGACGCTCAACCGATGGAGCCACCCAGGCACCTCTCCTATCTGTTCTTTCTAATGGTGTCATTCTACCCTGAACCCAAGTCTTTAAGATC